AGCAGGAATTCCTCCTGTAGTACTATGGATGACAAGCTTTGGCAGGAACAGGCAGGAACTGAGGAGGATGTCCTCCAGCTTCACTGGGCTCTGGATTGAGAGTGCTAGCAAATAACAGAGAAGGACAGAAATTCACCAGAAAACAGGCTGCCACAGTGTTCATGGCACACACCACAATCTAAGGATTAGCAAAAAAAGCCTGTGCTTTCTATGACGTGCTAACATTGAGCTGCAGCTGTTCCTCTGCATCTTTATGGACACTATGTTCACGTCACATAAAATAAAAACTTTATCCTAATCTATACATTGTCTAGTGAGAAGAAAACTACACGCAAAGAAAGAAAGGTTAAGGGAGATGGAAATTTAAAAAGGAAGCACAAGGAGGAAAGGGATCCAGCCCAAGAGGTACACAGCAACAACAACAAAAAATTATAAAAAAAAAAAAATTTAAAAGGCAAGCTGAAAAGGAAAAAACCCACTACATAAAGAAAGGTAGTAAACCCAAAAGAAAATACTTTTGGTTTAACTCATTAAACTGTCTAGATTACCACTTAGAAGTTCTGATACTTCATTTTCATTGGAAAAGTGCTTAGAGGAGATGAAAACTCCTCTAAATGGTAGAAGAGAATACCAGATAATTAAAAACTATTTTAACCTCCAGTTCCCCATAGATGTTCTTCCTAGCAGCCTCCTCTAACTCTTCTTGATGGACTGTGGGACAATGGTGGGTCAAAAACTTGAACTATAAGCTGGCATGACCTTTTTTGTAAGTATAGAATCACATTTATTTTTCCCCATGGAGTAAAATTTATCATCTGCTGCATGCAGTTACCTTATTGAGGGATTAGTAGTCAGTTCAGGAATTATTCCCAGTACTGAAGTTTATGTAAAAGATTTGAGAGTTATAAATGGGTATCACAACTGCCAATATAGTTTTACGTTAAAGCAGTCAGGCAGGATAGTTCTTCCCATCTAGGCACCAGTTGTAATCCACATTAACCTTTTTCAACACACTATTTGTAAAATAACAATGGAATACTATAAGGATGGATAGAGCAGTGAAGGCCACATAAAATGTTACAACATTTGCTGGGATAGTCAGGCCCTATTTCCTCACAACAACCTATTACAAATGTTATTAATTGGAGACTCCAGTCCTTTATTGCCCCTCAGCTGCATTGGGAGGCCAATGTCATGGGTGCAGAGGAGGATCCTCGCTGGTAAAAATGACATCAGCCATTTCTCTGCAGCACGAGCCTTTTTGATCTTCAAGACATACTGCAAACAATGCCTTTGTTCTCCCCCACCCCGTTTCCCTCTTACTGTTTAAAATAAAAACCTGAAACAAAAAGCTCTGTATTTTGCATGCATTGTAATGGGCTGGAGGCTTTTTTGAATAATAAAATGACAAGGGGGAGAAGGAGAATGTGTTTCCTCACCCGGCCCATACATTTTCAACCTCACAAAGCACCAGTCGGCCTTAATACCTTAATGGCTGCAGCCCCTCATCTCTCCTGCTGTGGCTTCCTTCTCTCCTGGTTGCACCTCATACGTCAGTGGCTAAAATTGCTTTTATCCCTTCCCCGCTTTTGTACTGGGCCATACTCCCCTTCCCAGTTCTGCCTTATTACCTACTTTGAGCTATACTTGATGTCTCCATAGCAGCAGTCCATTCACCAAGCTAATAAAAAAAAAAAATAATAATATTAAAGAGGTGGGGATGGATTAAGCTGAAAAGGATTGGAGACTTCTACGCAAACGTGCTCTTGCTGCATGCCACGGTACCGAAGCCGTAACGGTGCGGGCAGGGAGGCGCAGGAGCGGAACTGGGCCGGCTCGGAAACGGGGAGCGTCAGCCTAGCGAACCCCCCCCTCCTTTGGGGAACGCCGCTCTGTCCCCCGAGCCCTCAAACCCCGAACCGCTCCCACAGCCCGTACCGGCGACGGGGGGAAGCGGGAGGCGGCACCGGAGGCT